CAATGTATGCTTGTTTACGGTATTAACATTCTACATTGGGTCTCCCACTTATTGCTTTGCCTTCTGTAGGTCCCCGTAATTGTACGACAGCGAAGCATCAGTTCAAACGGCTGATATACTGCTATTGATGACGGTGATTTATCTGGTTCGACGAGGCGTCAAGACGAGCAAGTGGAAGCACTTGGAGAAAGAAATAGTCGAGAAGCCAGGCTGCGTTAGTGTGTGGCCTCAATTAGCCAAGCAATTTGTTACGACGTGATTTGCATATATCTGACGTAAAACTAGTAAGGCAGTCATCGCACACCCGGTTGGTTGATGTCGAAAAATTCTGCGCGCAGATACTGACAAACTTATCCAGACAGCCTCTACTGCTCGGTATAGGACACATTGGATTCTGTTTCCAAAAAACTTCATATCGCAAAATCGATGAAGTAGCTACGGATAGTCCGATAGGACTGGCACTGGCCGATTTTTTCACGATAATGCTAGGAAGATCTCTCAACTTCCTTAATACAAACGACATGTCGGTGACATTATGGTATTCGGTTCTTCGAGACTGCAAATCGAGCGTTTGCTGCACCAGTTTAGAAGCGTCTAGATCAAGTTAATAGTTACGCAAAAACTCGAGATAAACGGTTGTCTGCTGTACCTAGACATTCACATCAACCAAACGGATACCTGACTCGCTAAGCGGTCCAACTTCCGCAAACCAACATGGTCTAGTTAAGATCTGCAGTTTACCAGTTTCGTACAGTTGGGTCACAAGTGCGCACTGGTAAAAATGTCGTTCACTCGTGCCAGACCTAGTTGCTCGAGCGATTGTCTGGCTGATGACGCTCATGAAAAACGGTTATCCTAAACGCTTCATTGAGAAGCATAACCAGGTAAGACCGCCGAAGGAACTAGCGTTGACAGCACCTAAAGTGTACCTTGGGCTGCCATTTAAGAGTAACGTAGACACAAAGAGGCCAACCAAGCGCTTAATCTATGTCATTTAGAGAAGCTACTGCGTCGCGGATGCTGTAGCGATGAACAGGACCCGGAAACTGTCGTCAAATTATGAAAGAACCACCGTTGGATTTCTTGCAACAAAAATCTTGTTGCGCAGTAAGTATAATTACTTAATCATAAGTTAGTCAGATGTTCCAGCTAAGGTTTAACCTTTTGAAACTTACTGCTGGCACAGCAGTGGAAGACGGGGACTTGGCATTCAACCATGTAATCTACACAACATAACATTGTGGGAGAGGAGCTGCAATGTCACAGCTAGCAATCAATCATGGCGGTCCGTCATCGTCACGCATGACTCAGTGGTTTGTCTCTGGCCTGTAGTAGATCCAGTTGTTCGAAGTGTGCAGGATTCGGTACATGCGCGTTTCCGATGAGCCCCAATTGGACGAAAGAGCGGTTATTCACTTTTCGGGTATATGCGGCCTGCCTAATGAGGAATAGTTTCAAAATACACAATCGACAACACACTTGGCACTCGGTTTGCATTGAAGGAAAGATATTGCTTCTGAGGGACGCATTTATATCTACCTTACTCCGTTCAGGCATGCCAACCGTACACAGTACTTCACATTCAAGAGCTACTGGAATTCCACCAGACTAGGTGAGTGGAAGGCTAGCGGAGCCTCGGATGGCCTGGAATATCAAATGGAACAACCTGATGAGAAGTGGCATTGCTAGTTACGCCGCAGGCAGAGAAACAGACGCGAGTGAACATGCAATGAGGTCATGCACAGATCACGCACGACATCAGGACGACACAGACCACGAAAAGTCGACAGTTGTGCGACATCGCAGTGCAAATACGAGAATACCCGCAGCCACCAGGGTCAAAGATTTCATGCAGTCAATTGCGCAGAGAGTGAGTGTGCGGAGGGAACAAGACCATTTAAAGGACGTCTGTTGTCCAAATGCTCATACGTGAAGCGTAGGAGAACGTGGGAATTTTATTATCGAATATATAGCAAATGAAGTGCAATATTTGGGCGCTCAGAGGGCAGAAAACAGTTGTAGCGAAGCAGTGGGTATGAAAATTGAAAAGAGAGTTCAACGGATAAGAAAAACCACGATTGCGCTGGGAAGAAGTGTCTTCGAACTTCTTTGGAAACAATCGGTATAATGTGCGTCACCTGAGAAGAAAAACCAGAAGGGGAAGAAACAATTTATGGATGAGCAAATGGTGGGATCATTTATGAGGTAGTACACCAGGAGTGCCAAAACGTTTTGCAAGGAGGGCCACATTTTATGAGGTAAAAATATGTCGGGTCATATTCAGTCTGACGTTAAAATAATAACAAAATTACATGTACGATAAAATGTCTAAGCCTGAATGTAATGTTTCATGATAAGGCAGATGGCCAATTGAAATTTTAACGCGGGCCGGATTTTGGACATCCCTGGAGTACACAAACTGAAGAGTCGCTCTGCGCTACGGAAAGAAAACAAACAGCCGCGAGAATGAATGCAGAAACAAAGGTGAAAGTGACAAATGAACTATGAACGAAGAGTAATGACAAGAAATCGAATAGTCAGAGGGCCGTTGCAGTCGCCGGTGGAGCATGAGGAGGAGTGGTTAACCACACGTGGCGCTAAGGAATGAGATCAGGAGAAAAGAGAGCCGATCGAATACATGTATGAGCTACTTCTTTGCGCGCGTTCACTATGTAGCTACGGCCTAGTTGGGAGCGGAATGGAGGGAGTTGCCTGCCAGAAGGCCGCCGAAAGAAGCTGATCGAACTGGGTACCCATCAACAGTTGTGATGGTCACGTGAAAGCATGGACAATCAGGTTTTGGTTATGTTGTCCGCTATGGATGCGGCTGATGTGAGTGAAAGTGTTGAGGAAGGGAACGATCGCGAATTAGTATGCTGTATGATACAGTCACCACGAAGATTTTGTGCACCCGACAAATCGGCAGGTAATTGTAATGAGATACGAACGTCGATTGATGCAGTCAACCAGATGAAGTTAGGGTAAAATCTTTTAGCAAACGGAAGCGGTGCAGCGGACGAGTGTTTTGCAAGATGTCACCCATAATAAACCGTGTTGGTCCGATGTCAGAGAGTTGAGAACAGTGCAGTGAAGTAAGGTAACAGCCAGCTGTCTTCAAAACAAAGGTTGGTAAGATAATTTCATCAAGTGATTTTCTTCGGATGTACTGGGGTCACTAAGTTGGAGAACACGTCAACGACTATGTACTGATGGGTCTACAAATACACAACACCACTTCACAATGGAGTACGGTTGACCATATATGAGTCGAGCAATGAAACGAATCAGATTCAGTTACCATAGTAGAAACCCGGGTGGTGCGATACGGATGGCGGGTAATTTAACCAGTATCCAAAAACTACATCGGACCCGAACTGTTTGGAATTCATTCATATATAAGCGACTATATTGCGCAACTATCGTCTTCTGCAGACATTAGCTTACCTAATGCGGCATTTATGCATTTTCTTGGAATACATCTTGCAATAGGCAATAGTGCTGGGTAGCCGTCTCCTCCTTTCAGGAGTGCAAGCAGCAGCACACGGCCACAAATCCGATGGTTAATTCATGTGAACCGTATCCTTTCCTCGCATCGACACCCAGTTCGTTGCTGTACAACAACAGCGATGCCCATAGCTTCGATCAGCTGATGTCCGGAATGCGAAGCCACTAGTTATGGCACCGGTTACCAGGATCAAGGAAATGCTGTAGGCAATGTGAAGAAGTCTACGAAATCGAACGGGTGGCCTTTGCTCACTGAGATCATTAGGATATCAACACGGTTTACTTCATCCATTGAATAAATTGAGACGTTGGACGCCATTTGTAGGCGGAAGGATTACCACGAAAACTGCAGTCTGCATGTCAAAATCATAGTCAGATAACCCAAGCATCTGCGCCTTCTGCCGTGATCCTGGGTAACCCATTATTTGTCTACCCCATGCGATTAACTATGCAAAGCTCCATGTTTTCCTTGCAACTCACACCATCGTATCGAGACTTGTTCCCGATAACCTTATCTGACACCTGCTCCTACGGACTATTGTGCGATTCATTATTTTCCTAACCATGTCTAAGTGGTTTCATTCCAACCCCGCTAGAGATACGATCGCGCCCAAGGTGTAACATGCTCAGGTGTCCCATCACTCGGCACGGGTTTGCTCTCATCGCATAACTGCTGTGACGATTGTGCACGCCCCTTCCCCGTGCTACTAACCCCAACGGCACCCAGGCCCTTGTTGTTCTTTGATCCCATATCCGCACTGAGACGCGTTACTCTCATTCCATTTGAATGTAATGACACCTTGTATCTTCCTGTGCGTCGTACCGCGGACCAATGGGATAACATTTCGGACACCTTAAAAAGAACCCTCGTATTCCTCTCTTTGAATTTGTGCTGTGTTGCTTTGCTGTACGGTAGCAAGTGGGCTGACGCTATTTCATTGTGTAACTGTATGAAGACCCGGTTGTTTCAGGACTGAACGGGCACTGTTGAGGTATGTAACTATGTATTTGAGATTGCATATGGTTTAATAGTATCGTAGTTAGTCTCCGCTTCTTATCTTCTTCTTCCTATCTATCGAGTCATTGGAGCCCCAAGCAAATATGTCGATATGCCATTCACCATCGGGATAGTAAGATGGAATGCGCACTGCTAACGACCACCGAGAGGGTGAAACGGATTTGAGTGGGCTGATGATTAAGGCGTCAGCCGTTAATCAATAGCCCCAGGTTCTACCTCAATTCAGGCTATCTCCATCTCATGAGTCCAAACCAGGAAGAAACCGGTCGTGGGGTATAAGTGTTGAGATGAGTAACACCGAAACACCTCCATTCCGGTCACCTAACGCTTCTCCGGTCGCGCGATAGTCAACTGACGGAGCCCAGTTGTGCGGAAGCATACAACATGCAACTCTAATGTACATACACCCGTCGTTCACCTAACCAAGTGTCGAACGTAAACCAATACAAACAAGGTTGGGCGATCGACAGAAGCATGAAAGACACATGCAGTAAACGTAGGCGGCGAAAGCTTGACAGGCGATTTCTTGGACTAGTATAGGGCAGGATGCCAAGTACCAACTGGCCGCCCCAATCAACACTCATTTGACGAGCCAGAGATGGGTAGAATACTCCTACAGGTAAAATCGTCAAAGCTAAGAGGTCATGTCGCCGATCTAATGCTACGGCACTGCAGCTACGGACAGATACCACGTCACTCATACAGATAACGCGGATTTTGAAGTCGTATGCGTGGAGTAACATAAGGTGATTTGATCACCCGAGAAGGTACAGTTACCTAGGTTGGGCCAACGACTGACAACCGCTAATAATAGTTGGATGTTGGTGAACAGTGCCATGTTGGACCAATCTCGCAGCGTCGTACGCCTCCTCACACCTGAAAAAATATGCAGAAAGTAAGAAAGAATACTTGGTCATCAGTCCTGCAGCCAAAAATGCCCCAAAATGCTTCAAGTTGTCATTTCTATTAGTTGGTCGACCACAAAACACAACTCTCTACATTTGGACCAATGGATGGCATTCTGTTTCACTCAGATGGCCACTTACAGCCTTGGGTAATAAGTATGCTACCTGTTTCTTGTTGTAAAGACCGAGTAAGGAAAATCTAGTGGCTGAAGTAGAAATCTACAGTAGAGTTAAACCGCCTGATGGGATGGTACATCTGGCTGGCACATTTTCAAAGTGGTCAGAGATAATCCCTTTCCTATACGCAAAATCCGCAGCTACTATTCCCAATCTTCGCAGATGTTGCGCTTTACACATACCTATTGAAACTTTAGTTACAGACAAAAACACAGTTCCCTTTAACCCTGTTTGTGGATGTCTATCATCCGTCAAATATCCAACACGCACCTTCATACTATGGACAGTTAGGTAGTAAGCTTAAGCGCTTTTTCGAAATTTAAGAGAGTGCTATTTAGAGCTAGGAAAAATGGTACGACCGAGGAGAACTTCGATTGTTCGCATATAGTACAGTCTCAGTAAAGGTTGTCTTTGAAGACGGGACCAGTACCGAGAAGCTCAGGAATAGCAAGTTGTGAACCACATTTGATGATCTTACTACCAGCAATAGAAACTTAACCCAGCGGAAACTGTCCCTGTCCCCATTGAGAAGTGGAGAGCTTGTGTGTGCCCGCGACGATCCGTCTGGACGCCCTAAATGGATGGACGGCGTTAGTGGATAAAAAAGGAACTGATGTTTGATATTCATGGTGGTGACACTAGCTTAGACAGCCACAGTCCCCAACAATCGACTATCCCGTTAGAAACGCTATTAGATGCAACCGAAATTCCCCTACCGGAAGAATCCTCGCCGACAGCAGTAACGAGTGAAGCGCCATTTCTCAAACCGTATGATCGTGTTCATCGACCATCGGGTGGGATATCACTGAATCCAGTAAACGCATATACCAGTGTAGTCAAAATAGATGATGAGAAACAAGGTGTTCCCAGAAATCGTACTCTTATAATCCGGTGCTGACTGATATTGATCATAAAAACCAAACTTCGTCGCGTTGATCGTGAATTTTTTGAACAGGACTAAGACGGATTGACCTTTGGCTAGTTGGTCTGGTCAGCAAACTCCTGTTCTCACCATTCATTTGGAGCCTAAACACATTTGTGAAAGCCAGTGTTTTCGAGCTGGCAACACCCGATATCTAACCGCTTCATCAGTTACGATTCCAATAATCGAATTGACCAAAGTCCACTTCGATGCGAATCGCGGTTCACATCGAGACTGCGCGTCGCAATCCATTCTCACACAACGGAAACTTCAAAATGACCCCTCCAAGCACACATTCATTCATACTTCAGAAACACTAATGTGACTACATGACCGAACATAGTGACCACCTACCCCAATGTTAAGGAAATGAAGATGGTATCATCTTTTTATCTTGAGGAAGAAGCCCGTTAAAGAGAAATGAAAGAAGTAGGCGATGAGTATTTGTTCACTAAAGGACTGGAGGTAAAATGAGTTGCGCAAACAGCTGTACAGAGAGATGAAGATTGACCCACATGTTACTTATAACACAACTGAAGCTCGGCGGCATTTGAATGAACACCAACGCGTTATCGGCAGTGTACACTAACAGCAAACGAACGTAATCGCAAA